ACGAGCATTTGCTCTAAGAATAAAGTGAAAATGAAATATTCTCAGATGGATGTTGCATTGGATAAAATGTTATACGACTGAAATAAAACAAACGGCATTCTAGGCATAGTCAGGAGACACAAACGTGTTACTAAAATCTACCAGTGAGACAATCTTCTTTTTCTGGGAAAGAAATTAATTCCTTTCCCAGAACACACACTACTCTGTTAATATTGGTTTTGAGTACTGTGATTCTCTCAAGGACCATGTCAGTTTAAAGACCAGAGTGCACCTGATCCAAATCATGGTATTTTCATTTACTTGCTATGGACAGTGGATCGCTGGATAATGAAAAAGGATGACAGAACAACTGGTGCCTTTCAATTGTGATGTTGAAGAGAATTGAATATCCCATGGACTGCCAAAAGAATAAACAAGTCTGTCTCAGAGAGAGTGCAACCAGGGTGCTGCTCCTTGGAGGCAAATATAGTGACACTTCACCTCATAAACTTTGCACATGTTGTTAGGAGGGGGCCAGTGCTTGAAAAAGCCTGGCTTTGGAAGTATGAACACACTTGGAAAGGTGCAGAGTCAGCAAAGGACATGACAACTCTCAACAAGATGGATTGACACAGTGACTTTAACTCACGTATAGTGGAGATGGCAAGGCTTTTACAGGACAGGGCAGGGTTCAGAGCTGTTTGCCCACAGGGTCAGCAGGAGTTGGCTCAAGGAGACCTAACAACAGCATGCAATCAAGTACGTGGGCGAATGGTGACTTATCATTAACGTCAGGAAACTATCCTCATTTTGCTGAATCTGGCCAAGAGTTTGGATAGAGACTTCAATGTAATCTTACTATACAGCTCACTGACTCGTTTAAGAAAATATGAGTTAATCATCCCTATTAGTCTGGATATTGTTGTTGTTTCCTTGTTTAAGAAAGCAAGAGTATAATGAGTTAATGATTACTGTTAGTCTGGATATTAGATAGACTAAAGATGAGTTTTATTTAGTGGAATTGCTATATTTGAGTTACCAAATAATAAATTCTCCCTAGAAAGATATCAAGTTGACTCATTCAGTTTGGTCTCTGTATTTCACAGTAAAATGCTTCAGTTTTAACAAGCTCCAAACTAGAAGGAAATCCAAACTAGCACCAAATTCTTTTGTGTGCTCTTAAGTATTTATCAAAAAAATTAATTCACGGGCTCATGGATTTCTCCTATTTCATGATTAAGTATTTGAAGGGAGCTTTGAGGTGGGGAATAAAGAGTAGCGTGTGATTATCTAAAAACTAAAATCTAAAGATAACTAGACCACAATTCTGGAGACCCTGCTTCTGCTTCCTGTTCTTGTGCCCATTGCATGTATGAACCCATTTCAGTGAACTTGCCTCACTAAAATGTCTGCATACACCATTTTTACTTATGTGAAGAACTAAGTAACTCTCCTATCTGGCCTTTTTAAGGGCAGATTAAACAGAAATAGTCTTGTCTTCTGTTAAGAGTCTGCCTGGGGAAGAGCTGTATCTTTAAGAACCTTGCTTACTATGAGATGAATCTTCAGTTATGCAGGAAGCTGGGTTTCTCCTGGTTGAGTCACAGACTCTCTTTGAGCTTTGCAGGAAGAGTGTATCTTAGATTTCCTTATCTAAAACAAGTGACATAGTCAACTCAGGATTCAAGTGGAAGTGCAGGGCTGGGAGAAGCATGGGTTCAGCCCTCAGCAGTCAGTTAGGTGGCTCTTAATGTGCTTCTCTGCAGGCGAGAACACCATCAGCCCCACACCTGCTGCCTGGAAAGGAACCAGGCCTGCCACAGGAGAAATGACTCAACAAGATCCTTTACCAGCCGGATGTGGCTTTGCTTCCTCTCCCTAGTGGGGTACATGTGTGCTGTCATCTCATGAGACCTAAGTTAATGAGGGAGAGGGTATGAGAGGGCCTGGAGAAGTAATAGGACTCAATACGTGGAGCTTGCATTATTTGTTGTTGTGGTTAGGTACCACTGAGTTGAGTATGACTCACAGTGACCCTTTGAGCACCAGATCTGAACCCTCTCCTATTTCATGCCATCTTCATTATTTCTGACATGCTTAGGCCTATTGCTGTAGTCATTTGGTCAATCCATCTCACTGAGGGTTTTCATGTTCTGTCACTGACTCTCCACCTTTCTAAGCATGATGTCCCTTTCCAAAGAAAAATCTCTCTTAACAACATGCCCAAATTTTAAGACAAAGCTTTGTCATCTTTGCCTCCAAGAAGCGTTCTGGCTGCACTTTCTCCAGACATATCTGTTTGTTCTTTTGGCAGTCCATGGAATGAATATTCAATACTCTTCTCCAACACCACAGCTCAAAGGTATCAATTCTTCTGTCATCTTTATTAACTGTCCAGCTCTCAAATGCACAGCAAGTGATGGAAAAGACCATGCCCTGAACTATGGGCCCCTTGGTCTTCAAACTGACATCATTGCTCCTCAGTGATTTAGAGAGGCCCATTTGGGTAGGATTAAACAAACCCAATTCTGTAACGTCTCTATACCTATAAGCAGAGGACATATACTGCTCATCTTCCTCTTCTCATCTAGCTCAATCTTTTCCTTGAGGTTATACTACCACTTAAGAACAAAGTGAGAGATTTAATATAATCAATAATAATTAAGACAGAAAAAGGTGTTGAGAGATGCCAAAACTGGCTCATAAGGACGAGCTGTATGCATTCTTCCTCATGAACATGCATGAGGAGCTGCTGGCAAGCCCCCATTTAGCTCTGTGTGGGACCCTGTTGAAAAGAAAAATCATACTGAAAAAATAAAAGATTTAAATAATGCATTTGGAAAATCATGGATGATTTAGTGATACCGGGGAACGCAGATGAGTTAAGTGATGTCCAGTCGACTAGGCGTCATAGCGACCCTGTGAACAGCAGATCAAAACTTTACCCTACCTTGGGAGGAAATCATGCAACAATGAATGAAAACTCCAACTTTTCTGTAAACTTTTCACAGTAAACAGAAAAACTTTTATTAACCCCAAAACAAACTTTACCCTATCTTATGCCATTCTCATGATCTCCACCACACTCAAGCCCACTGTTGCCATCAATGTTCAGTCCATCTCATTGAGGATCTCTCTCTCACTGCCTCTACTTTTCCCAGCATGTCTTTTTCCAAAGACTAGTGCCTTCTGACAATATACCTAAAATATGTGGCATGGAGATTCTAATTGACTAGTCATCCTAAATTGCACCTGCAGTTCAAAGGTCACGTCAGAAAAGTGAAAAAGAATTGCAAACAGCTCTCCACCTGGTGAGAGCAGCAGTGAAGTGAGTGGAGACGTGATTTCAGGGATATATTACAAGGAGGAATGAAAGTTTGGAAGACAGAATTGACAATTACTGGGTGCAAGTGCTTCTCCCTGGCGGAGGAGGGGTGGCTGACAAAGGGACAGGAATCAGCATGCACATTTCCTGTTCCTGTTTGTTTTCTTAGCTAACATCCTCAGAGCATCTCTGCTCTGCATCCTTATGGGAGAAGAAAGGAGAGCGAGCTTGTTCTCTGAAGTCCCTGGGTAGAGCAATAATAAAAAATATAAGTGATTAACAGGCTCAGCTGCTGACTGAAACGCGAGATTCAAATCCAGTTTCAAGAGGAAGGCTTGGTGACCTACTTCCAAAATATCAGCCACTGAAAGCCTCACAGAGCACTGACCTACTCTGACTCAAACATACTCAGTAACAACTTTTTTTTGTTTTCTACAATGCTCTCCACTGGCCTTGGAGTCACTTTCATCTCTTCTATAAGGTATGAGATATGAGCTGCAGGGGAACATTTGTTTTCTTAAAATTGAGGCATCGCATTTCTGAAATCCCAAACCTTCAAAAAATAATGAAGGACACAAGTGGGTAGAAATCGTATCTTACTTTGTTTTAAAGTCACATGAACCTTTTTAGAGAAGCAGTCTTCCTTTCTCCAGACATAAAGAAAAATACTCTTTCATGTTCTTGTGTATGAACAAGCAAGTTCATTTTAGCATTTGCTCTTTATTGTGTTGCATGAAGAAGTACCTATGTAATGCAAATATGCACTGTACTAAAATACCCACATTGTCAAATACATTATGTGGTAAAGTCCACAGTCTCTGCAAAAGCATCATGAGTAACCTGTGCCTTTATGCTTTACAATCCACTGTTGGCTGCTGTTAGAAGTATGATAACACGTGAGGGGGGAAAAATAATGTTGAGTATGAATATACTTTTCCAAACACATACGCACAGTTCACAATGGAACTCCAATGGAAATAAGTCAAATGACATTCGGTGCATTATCTATAAAATGTAGACTCTGCAATAAAAAGCCAAAGGCACATAAAAATATATTTTAACTTTAAAAATAACTTAGTTACAGTAATACTTTGCCTGTGTCTTACCAATACATATTCTGACAGTCAAAATTTTGCAATATAGATATAATATATAGGGATATATAAGAACTACAAGAAAATCCCCCAAACCCATCAATTATTTTATTAGTAAACATGAAAACAGAGAAACATTTTAACACTGGAGAATTCATTATGGTGAGCTCAAACAATGTCGTATAGAAAAAGAGTCTAGAAAAAAGGCTTAGGTGTTAAATAATTTTGACTTCCTCTTGCTCAATGAAAAAGTTCCTTCCCGAGGTCCACCCAGCCCTTCGTAACTGGTGCCAGCCCCAGCCAGGCCAGCAGCCTTGTTCACAGTCTGCAAACAAAAATGGGAGCTGAACATCAGCAACACCTGCCAAAAACGGGCTTTTTGACTCATTTCCTCTTTTTACCAGCATAGTGTTTTTTTTTATTTTTGTTTTTCAAACTTCCTGCAAACAGGACATAATGGGTAAAAAAATATCTGGTAGGAACATTGACTTAGAAAAGCCAGTGCCCAACCACAAACACTGACAGCGAAGCTCTCTTTGTGGACTGTGGCTGGATCTGGGCTTGGGGTACCTCTTGCCTAGAGGCAGAGGGAAGGGGGTCCATTACTTGTTTTTGTCCATGACGTTCAGAACCTCGTCCAGGAGTGAGGGCCCCAAGTCCAGCTGCAGGGAGAAGAGGGAGCCCGTGAGGTCTGACAGGGACTCCTCGGATCTTGTCTTTTCTTTGAGCATCTCTCCCGGGGCAGGCTGGTCAAACATGTCCTCAGCTGGCCAGTCAGGGTACTGTTCGGAGAGACTGGATGAGTGGCTGTTCCTGCCCTTACTGGACTGGGATGCGGAGCCGCTGGAGCCCCACAAGGTGTTCCCGGGGTGCACTGTCCCATGGGCCAGCAGGCTGCCTTTCTCCTGAGCCTTCTCCACCACAGGCTCACAGCTCAGCCGGGGCAACTTGGTTGGGCCAAAGGCTTCCTGTTTAGAACTAAAGGTCACCGGGGACAACAAGGGGAGAATGAGTGCCTGGGAGCCTCCGATGGTCGGGAGGGAGATGGCGTTTTTGAGCACCGGGGAGAGGGTGTCTATGAACACTGAGTCCGAGGTGCTGTTGGTTCGGAAGAACTCATTATGCCCAGGGAACTGGCCCAGGTGTGCCTTCTCCTGATTTCCAGGCAAAAGCTCATAGTTGCCTTGAAGAAAGGAAATGTCTCCGAAAACATCATGCTGGCCCTCTTTGCCAATGTGAATGGTGTGGCGGAAGTCCCCCAGGGGAGGACTGATCAAATCGGGAGACAGAATGTCTCTCAGTTTACATTTCTTTCCTTTCTTGTTATTGGCAGCTTTCAGGTAAATGGGTGTCTTGGCTGGCATTTTCAGAACTTCAGAATGTCCACTGTGTAAAAGACGGGAAAAGGATCACTTTCTTCACAGACACTGCAAGGTTCCAAAAACAATCCTCTGTGATCTCAACTGTCACATCACTTTCCTCCAGATGCTTAAGCAGTGGAGCCCAGACCTTCCAGATTACGGCCAAGTGATCCTCCAAGACAGGGAGTCCACTGGTCAACAGCTTCTGCACCCTGGACAGACCTGGAGAACAAAGCACAGGAGGTTAGTGAGCTGACCTCGAGGTTCACTGCTGTGCCAGAGTGGAGTCCAATCCACTGGGAAAGTTCAAGAGCCCCACAAGGTTTTCAAGGCTGTATTCTCCATGGGAGCCAATGGCCAGGACTTTCTCCCTCAGTGTCACTGGTGGGTTCAAACCACCAACCTTTTAGTTGACTTGCTTGTGACTCATAGCAACCCTATGTACAATAGCTGAACCCTGCTCTATCTTGAGCCAATATCATTGTCTCCAACACACCTATTCCCATTACCTTAGTCACTGAGTCAGTCACTCCATTTCACCCTCCCAAGAATGATGTCCCTCTCCAAGGACCAGTCCCTCCTGGCAACATCCCCAAGTATGTGAGATGGAGCTTCAAAATTCTTGCCTCCAAAATGTAGCCTGGTTTCACTCTCTGCAGGACAAACTTGTCTGTTCTCTTAGCTGTCCATGATAGGTGGTTAGTAGCTGAGAAATTTAACCTCCGCACCACCAGGACTTCCTGTCCTGTCACAGAAGTCCTGTAAATAAAGGGCATTTCGCACTTAAAGATGAGCCTTATCTTGCTTCTGTATTTTAACTAGGAAGAAAGCTGTCATCTTAACAAGGGCTTACTAATCTTGATCTTAGTTCAGCTAGGGAGGGGAAAACCAAAAAGACACAGAGAGAAAGATTTAAAAGCCCCAAACCCGTAACATCGGCATTTTAAAAATATGTTTACGGACACAATTTTCTGAGCATGCAAGAGATTTGGGGACTTTTCCTCTAATAGAAGAACTGTAGTCAGCTCTTGACCATGGAGGGGGCTTTCAGCTTCTCAAGTGTAACCAAATATGTCTGCAAATGTATTTTTCCTTTTGCTTTGGCAATCCCCCAAAGCAAGATGATACTACCTTGTGGTTGAGTTCAGTGTGTAAATAAAATCAACACAGTAAAATTAAGTCTTATAAGGACAGAGGGAACCTTGGTGGTGCAGAGGTTAAGTACACAGAAGCTAACCGGCATTTTGAACCCATCCACTGCTCGGGGGAGATGTAGCAGTCTTCTTCTGAACCTTGGAAACTCTACCTAAGGTTGTGCTACTTGGGCTCTTAGAGGGCTGCGCTAAGTCAGACTGGAGGGCACTGGGTTTGGTTTTGTTTTTCTCAGGAAAGTCACAGTTTAGCCATCGAGTCAGGCCTGATGCACAGCTGACTGGCCAGTGGGTTTCTGATGTTATAAATAGTACAGGAGTAGACTGTCCATCTTTGTTCCATGGAGCTGCTGGTGGATTTGAATCAACAGAGAGATGGTGGTTTAGTGTATCTCCTCACACACTAAACCACACGAGCTCCCCTTTCTAAGGAAACAAGAGTGGTGATCATAGTCACTAAGGGATTGGATGGTACAAATGACTGGTATAAACTGCACAGTTAACATGGCTAGCTGTGAATGGAAAGGCTTGAGGTTCAAGGAGACTTAGAAGAGAGGCCTTGTGATCCACTCCAGAAAAATCACCCACTGAAGACGCTGTGGGGTAAAATTCAACCAATACTCTGTCAGTTTCCTCCCTGAAGCTTCTCGTGAGCCTGCAGCCCTGACTGACAGATGGAAGCCTGAGGAGACCCTAGAAAATGAGAAACACCAGCTAAGCCCTGTCCAGCCTCCCAACTCACAGAAACAGAGATGATTAATGGGTGTTGTTCTGAGTCACTAAGTTTGTGGTGATTTGTTACACAGGATATAAGACTATGACAATCCCTAATAACTGTCACATGATAAGCTCAGAGGTGAAAAGCTGGAAGATACTGGGAACCTGAGGCCCTCATCCGCAAAGGCTGATCTCTTGGTGGCACGGTACCATGCCCTCATCTGTTGCAAATGCTTCTCTAGCTCTTGGGTTGCATCAGCTGTTATCAGTTCCCTATGGTGGGAATCCCCTAACAGTCTCTCTCCCACCATGGCCTCATCCCCTTGGCTGCAGGACTTGTCAAAAACACTCTGGGCTGGAGGAGATGGTGGCTTGAGGAGACTCACATTTGCTTTATGGCAGCTGGGAGCTGTCCTCATCTGCCCTGCCTTTCGACAAGAGTTTTAAATTCATCTGACAGGGCCAGGTGACAAGAACTTTGCTGTACTATCCTTCACCACCCACTGGCAAGGGAACAACTGTTTGGGGGCAATGTCGTGTTGACTGGCCTATAACTACAGTGCCTGTCAGGTTCAGGTCAGAGAAGGACAAGAGCAATGAGCTGGAGGGACCCCTTTCCCCACTGGGGTAGTGAACATGGTGGGGACACCAGAAGGGTATCGGCGTCCACTCACAGGAGGCTGAACTCAAAAGGGCCAAAGAGTACCACACACTCACCTCCTCTTGCTTTCTTTTTATAGTCTCAGCTAAGGCACTGGGTCCCCAAAACTCCATGAGTGTCCTGCCTTTCGTTAGTTAGCCCATTGGCCTCTGAGGACACAGAGTGGCCTTCGGTTCTGTGGCATATTTCAGGTGAGGAGCAGCACAGAGACACTCTCTGATTATAAGAAAACCTTGATATCAGGTGGGGAAATGGGAAACTCTTACAAGGAAGTGACAAGAGCCCTGACATTCATGCTCATGGTTTTAGTTCTAATCTGGATCTTGTGTTGTTGTTGTTGCATACAGAACTGACTCACAGCGGCGGGACTCCAGTGGGTTTTCAGAGGCTGTACGCTGCATAGGAGACTGCCCATCTTGCTCTTGTGGGGAAGCTAGTGGATTCAAACAGAGAGCCTTTGGGCTGTCAGTAACCACTAATCAATCCACCAGAGAGGCACATACAAGTTTAAATTCGTGGTTCTTTTGCTAAAATATCAGAGGTCCCACCTATGTAAGTGCACAATCCACTCCTGCAGCCTCGGGTCCTCTCTAGGAGCCTGTGGATGAAGTATGGTGCTGGGGCAGTGGTCGATGACGGCAGCCCTGGAGAATGACCACCCCCTTCTGTGGTGACCTCAGTACACACAGCAAGGAGGGCAGCTCAACAGACAGGAAATTCACGACTCAGGTTAGTGGTCTGAACCTTCTCAGAGGCACCCTGAAAGACTGCTCCAGTGATCTGCTCCCATGAGGACGCAGCCTTAAAAATCCCATGGAGCAGTTCTACTCTGCAAACATTCCAGAAACTTAGAAGACAGCTGCCTGGCCAACTGGCTGAAGCAGATCCATATTTGTTCCTAGTCCAGACACAAGTGGTCCCAGATGGACCTCCTTCCTGATTTTAAACCATGCGGTGTAAAGAGGTTATGGAGTGAGGGATAACACTGCTGATAAAAGATGGACCTTGCCTGAAAGTATAAACTACCAGAGAGATGTTCACTTGTGTTTTATTGACTGTGCCAAGGTCTGAGGGCAAGGATCAGATGGCATGGCCTTACACAGCCAATGCCATTGATGTGGCACTGAGGTCCTGAGAAATTAACTGGATTTGTAGGTACCTGATCATAACACAAACATACTCATGGGAATTGCAGGCAAAAACTGCAGCCTGAGAAGAATGTACCACAGCCTGGGGAAAATGTACCTATGACGTTAAAAGGCATAGACCTGGTCTACCTGAGCTTGAGAAAGGGCACGACACACTTGTTCCCGCAGTCTTTGGTTATTTACTAAGGAGGCAGGCCTACCTGTATTCCAAAGAATGGAAAATATTTGTGGAGAAGGGGTTTTAGGAGGAAGCAAATGAGAAAAGGTAGGAGGAGCATAGGATGTTGGGGGGAATGCTGAGGGCAGGGCATCCACAATGAGGGAAGAACAGACAGGTAGAGTCACTTGGGCAACGTGTACAACCTTTCGTCTACTGAGGCAACACAGATACTCCCTACTGCAACTGCCTTCGAGTCAATCCGAACTCTTAGCAAGCCTCCATTTGGTCTCTGAGGCTATAAATCTGCCCATCTTTCTCATAGGGAGGAGCTAATTGACTTAGCTGCTGGACTTTTGATTTGCAGCCTGACATGTCATGCACTGTGCCACCCATCAATTGATGGCACACTAATTGAGGTGTTTCAGTAAACATACATGGCCTTGGGTGTATTTACTAGTCTATTCCAAGAAATCTGAAGACAGCTACCTGGCCGACTGGCTAGAAGAGATCCATATTTGCGCTTGTTTCAAAAACAGGTGGTCCATAATACACCCTTTTCCTGATGCATTGTAATAGAGGCTAGGGAGCAAGGGATAATATTGCTGATGTCAGACCAGAACAATGTTCACTTGTGTTTTATGGAGTATGCAAAGGCTTTGACTGTGTAGAACACATCTAACATTGAGAAGAACAGGCACCCCACAATACTTAATTACGCTCATGCAAAACCTAGACACAGACCAAGACACTATTGTCTGAAGAGAACAAGGGAATACTACTAACTGCATAGTTTACAATCAGGAAATGTGTGCATCAGGGTTACAATCTTTCTCCATAACTGTTCAATCTGTATGCTAACCAAATCACTCAATAAGCTGGACTATATGAAGAATGTGGCATCAGAATTAAAGCAAGACCATCGACAACTTGTGTCCTTGCTTGCAGAAAGTAAAGAAGACTTGAAGCACTTACTGAAAAAGTTCAGACTCTGTTCTTCAAATATGGATTACATCTCAATAACAAGTCAACAACAATCCTCACCAGTGGACCAATAGGCAATATCATGACAGATAGAGAAAAGACTGAAGTTGTCAACGACTTAATTTTGCTTGGATCCATAATCAGCACCCAGGGTAGCTACAATCAAGAAATCAAAAGGCATAGCA